GTCCCTTGTGAGCACCATCACAAATGCAACTGGACTTGTAAACTACACATCTACATTATTCAGCAGGTACTTTCTCTACCTGCTGAGGCAGGTACCAAGTTGATGCTAGCACAGAATAGTCACCTCTTTTCTCTCTAGTAAGGGTGATGCTTGATGTGGATGATAGCAGGCAACACATAAGACAGTTTCTTCTAGATCCAGATCAGGCCATTCCAACCGTGTCCAATCCACTTAGAGCAACTGTCCATTCCAAAGCCTGAACATCAGTAGATTCTGGGAAATTCTGCATTGCAATGATGTCTATGACCTTTACAGGGATGTTTGCTCACATGGTGAAAGCTCATCAAAATCTATTTCTTTTTAACTAGCTTCTCTTCAGGGTTTCTCAATTTATTTTAAGATAGCGAACCTGCTCTACCTCCAAATCAACCTGCCTCTAGCCCATGGTCCAGGTCACTTGAATAATTCAACTTGATGCTAATGGTTACAGCTGTCAGGAAATGAAGTGAAGAGAAGCAAGTGTAATGAATTGCTGAAAGTGGCCCTAAGTCCATTTTGGGGGCAGCAAATTAATTTATTTATATGTAAACCCCTCAAATTTATCTTTTCATAATTGAGAAATATTCCATTGTATAAAAATATCTTTTTAATACATTTCTCAGTTGATGGAATTTGCATTGCTTACAACGTTTAGCTATGGCAATCTGTGCTGCTGTAAATATGGATGCACATATAAACCTGTGGTATGATGTTTTCAGATTTTCCGGAAGAATACCCAGAAGGAGAACAGCTGAGCTTAATTGGACCTCTAATCATAGTATCCTGAGGCATCTCCACAATGATTCTGATAGTGGTTGTATGCATCTACATTTCCAACAATAGAGAAGCATTCCTTTTTCCAAATAGATCCTCCGGCATTTGCTATTAGTGAACTTTTTTTGAAAGCATTTAGTACAAGATCTCGCTATGGAATTTGGACTCATAGTGATCCTCCTCTTTTCATCCTCCCTACCACTGGGATTACAGGCATGCAGCACCATGCCCAGTCTGTGGCTGGCTCAGCACACCCAGTGATGATGCTGGCATGGTTTGTGGTGCTTGGGTTCAAACTTAAGTCCCTGTGGTTGCCTAAACAGGCACTTTGTCTGCTGAGCTATCCCCCTGGCCTTTTTTTTTCTGCTAGCTGGGATGGAAGTCAGGATCTTGTGCTTTCCAGGAAGATGCCTGGTTGCCTTCTTGATGATAACCATGCTTTCTAAGAGTTCTTTTAATTTGCATTTCATGAATGACCAATGCTATTGAATTTTTTTTCACATATATATTTGGTATTTGTATTCATTTGAGAAGTTTGTGTTTATCTCAGATACCCATTTTTGGATTTGGTCTTTGAATTTTGGGGACTTTATTTTGAAAATTTTTTATACATTCTTGATAGAAGTCCTTTGACTGAGAGACAGATGGTTAAATTGTTTTTCCACAATATTTTCCCAAATAGTCAGTCTGCTATTTTTTCTGTTGGTAATCTATTTTGATGTGCAGAAACTTTTCAGTAAGATGAGATCTCATTTGTTGACTCTTTAAAGTATTTCCCCTCAGTTCATTTTTGTTCATAATTCTTGGCTGACCCTTATGTCTTCACTATTTCTCCTCAAGTACACTTAGTGCTTCTATTTTAATATTTATATATTTGATCAATTTTCACTTAGTTCTAGTTGTAGTCTTGCCACATGGAAAACCAGGTTTTAAAAAACAATATTCATTAGGTGGGCTATCTTCCTTCCAATGAACGTGGTTGCCCCCTTTGTCAAGGATAATGTGCTTGAGTTTGTGCTTGAGTTTGTAGTTGTGTATGCATCTTTGAATCTGTTCCATTGGTGGTCACATTTGTGTCTTTGACAGTATCATGCTGATTTTGTCACAGTAGCTTTGTAGTATTCTTTCAAGTCAGGGACTCCAATGCCTCCTGCCTTTGTTTCCCAGGTTTGCTTTTTCTACACTGATCCCTTCTGCATGCAGATTAATTTTAGGAATAATTTTCTAAAAATCTCTGAGGAATACTAATAGTATTTTAATCTGGATTACATTGATTCTGTGTAACACTTTTAGAAATATGGACATTTTCACAGTGTTGACTCTTCTTATCCATGAACAAAGAATATATTTCAATTTTCTGAAATTATCTTCAGTCTCTTTCTCATAGTACTTTAATTTTCAGTGTATATATATTTTATTTCCTTTGTTTGATTGCTTCCTATGATATGGTTGGTTGTCATGAGTTCTTTCAGTTGTTCTTTGTTGGGGACCTATCTCATCTCTTCATTAATTTTCATAAATTGTTTTGTAGTGTACATCAAAGTGGACTAGAAGTTGCTTGCTTCTTTCTTTCTTTCTTTCTTTCTTTCTTTCTTTCTTTCTTTCTTTCTTTCTTTCTTTCTTTCTTTCTTTCTTTCTTTCTTTTGCCAAACCGGGGATTGAACTCAGGCCCTTGCACTCGCCAGAGAAACGCTTATTCCACTGAGTCATCTCCCAGCCCAGAAGTTGTTTTCTTTTAGGATCTGAAATACTTCTCTCCAAATTATTCTTGGCTGGATGTTTTGTGTTGAGAATTCTGCTGCTATTCAGATGGATTTTCTGTTATAAGCGATCTGTGTTTTTCTCTTACAGTTTTTAAGATTCTGTTTTTCTGAGATCTTGATTATCATGTGACTGAGCAAAGATTTACTTTGGTTATGGATGATTGGAGTTCTACACGACTCACTTAAATGTGTGTGAGATTCTTATCCTATGCTTCTGTAACTCCTTCTTCTGCAGAGTATTTTTATGTCATTTGTGTGGACTCCTCCTTTATCATAAATCCTATATTGTTATTCTTTGTATTATCTTGCAGCTATTGAATTGCTATTCCCTGCTTCCTTGCTATTTTTAAGGTCATTTTCCCCCCTTTGGTGGAACCGGGGATTGAACTCAGGCCCTTGTGCTTGCCAAGGAAGTACTTATTCTGCTGAGCCATCACCCCGGCCCCTCTTTGTTATTTTTAGAGATCTTTTCTTTTGTGATTGCTAGCTGCAATGCTGTCAGTAAGGTCAGAAATTCTACCTTCAGTTTTATTCAAGAGGTTTTAAAAGCTCTGCACAAAATTCTTAATTTCCTGAATATTTTTTCAAATATATTTCATGCATTGCAGTTCTTTCTTGTATTGTTTGTTCAGGGTTTTCATCATTTTTTTATTTTCCTTTATTGTTTAAATTTGTCTTCTTTAGATATGCTGAGCAATTCTTCCATGATTGTTGTCATTTCTTTGTTTCTTTTTTCTTTCTTTTTTGCCTACTCTGATCTGATTTGTTCTGTAGCCTGATGCCATTGTTTGTTTACTTCAGTTTCTATCATTTTAGAAATTTCAGAGCAGGGGACAGGGGTTTGATCCTCGGGCCTGTCGTGGTGGCTCAGACCCAAGGGCACACAGAGCCAGCAATTGAGATTGGGTATGGTGATGCAAACCTGTAATCCCAGCTCTTAATAGGTTGGAAATAAGCAGATCACTACAAGTCTGATCTAGTAGTGAGACCCTGAACTCCCTGTAGACACTTCCCTAAAATACAAAAGAAAAAAAAAAAAAAGAAAGAAGGTTCAGATGTATGACTTCCATGTTATTTTATAACTTTGTGTCCTGGACTTGTTTGCAGTGAGTTGCCAGTCTGAGGTTGCCTTTTGATCACTTGTTTTAAGATTATCCAAACTCTCAATATTCAGTGAGGTTCAGTACTGCTTCTGCAATGTTAGGTGGGTGGGACATGGCTCATCAAGCTTTTGAAGCTGTCTGGGTCTCAGCCTGGATCCCTGAAGCTTTGAGAGTATGCTGTGTGTCAACCAGTCTCCTGAAATTATACACAGCATGGACAGGGTTCCTGCTCCTTTGATGGTGAGGTTGGGGTAGAGGTCACTGTTTTCACTGATGTTATTTGAGGATCAATGTGGTTACCAAAATGTGATAGGTACATTTCAAAGATATGAAATTCTTCCATGCAGTGAGTTGGAATGTTGTCTGTTAGTAAGACTGTGATGAATGTTGGAGAATTGAGTGCACCAGTTCTTGTGCAATTTTGAATCCAAGAGCTACTTAATATTTCAAAAGGCTCAGTAGGTTCTATTGAATAAGTATTGGATAATTGTGGGAATATTTTATAAGACCAACCTACAAGGTTGTACTTGACCAAGGGGCAATGAAGATAAAACACACAGACAAAAAAAAAAAAAAGGTTGAGATCACAGTTGTCAATTCTTTAATGTATTTTCCATGCACTTTTATTTTAGTTCATTAACCGTCTACATGCACTTATGATATTAAGACTTTTGTGTAACTTTTATGCAGAAGATTTAGTGTTCCTTTTTAATATTTAGACCTCTGATCCATTTCGACTATAATTTAGTTCATGGTGTTTGGCATAGGTCTAATTGTAGACTTTCGCATATTGAAAGCCAGTTTTCTCTGATCCAGTTATGAAAGTTACTATCTTTCTTCAGGGAACATGGTTGGCCT